CTTTGGATATTTTGGCTCTTAAGCCCAGAACAATATTTTTCCACAATCACGTCCCTAACTCACTTATTTATCCTAGGAAATTTTGGGGTATCACATCCACCCCTCCTAAAAAGGAGTTTTGTCCCCAAAACTCAAATTGAGGACCATATCAAGTGGTGAATGGCTTCACACAATCCAAGACAAATGTCCCACTAACTTTCTATGAACAGACATGGCTTACTATGCTTCCGCTACGCCACTCTGATATCAATCCACAGCTAACCATAAAAGCAGGACACTAGCTACTTAACAGGGTTTACCATGAAATGAGCTACTAGAGGCTGGGGTGATATGAGAAACACAAGGAATAGAAATAAATCCTGCCAAAGCCACAAAAGAACAATTGTGGGGTTACGCTTTGAACCCATCACAAGACGAGTTGGCAAAGAATGGCATGGATTTAAAGATGAATACAACAAAACTTTAAACTCTTATCAAAGACGGATAAGCATCCAATGGATATATGGATCATGAATGAATGAACGAGTGCATGGATGCCTTATATACTTTGCCACAAAACAAGGTCAGCCAATAAGGTCATGTTTAACAAAGCAACTGGAATCAAGAAACAGATTTTAGCAATTAAGAAGAATTAAAAGCTAGGACCATCAAAAGACATGTAAGAATTTCAAGAACTGCAACAGAATAAAATCAATGAAAAATATGAATGCTTGGAAGAATACTGGAACACAAGAGTGCAAGGTAGAATGCCTCAAAATTCAACAACAAAATGGCATTCACCAATAATCAAGATCAAATTTAACCAAGCAGTCAAAATTGAGAGACAAGAGTTAACCATGAAACATGTAATAGAATCCAAGGATTAGGCCCACAAAAGAGATTTCAATAATGACAATGAGAACAAGGATTCAAGAGCAGATATAATCAAGATGTCAAGATCTGGCACCCCAAGTACTAGAATTAATTAACAGAACAAAACAATGGCTGGGATCAAAATGCTGAGAAGATTCATGTCTTCTAATCAAAATGGCAAACAAAAATCAAAGCAGACAGATAAAAGAATCATATCTCTTGGAACAAAACTCTAGGGTATCAAGTATTTCAAGGACTACCCCTTTACCTCGTAGCTCATGGAGACTACAATCTGCTTAGCCTAGACATTCCAAAGTCAAGTCAAAGCTAAGGCATCAAGAATACAGAATTTAACACTTGCAAGAGACAAGAATTTAGAATACCTCATATAGGTATCCTCTGATAATCGTCACCCCTCCTAAAGAGGTGTCCATATGAACAAAAACCAAGAATCAAGAAGATCAAGAAGTATACAGAAACAAGAACAAGCAGAATATGCGGAATCGAGCAAGAGCAGTATACGAAATTTGAGCAAGAACCAGAGTCAGAACAAGAATGGTTTTCAAGGTCAACTCAAAATAGATTTCAAGAACAGTGCAAGAATTAATTTCAGACAAGAATCAAGATAATGAGGATTTCAATAATCATTATCCATTTTTGGATTTCAGCTTCAAGAACAAGTACAAAGCAATCTCAAGAAAGATTCAAGACGGATTTCAAGAGTTCCAAGCAGTTTCAACAGACATCAAGAATGTAGAGATTGGCAACAATAGAGAGTTTAACTTCATGACAACTTGCCAATCTTCACAAAACAAGGCAATTTCAATTGAATGATCACTGCTCTTGATTAACCACTATAGAAGAATAAGCCACATGAAAAGACCACGAAGCTCCAAATGGAAAAAGTGAAACTTCACTATAACACTTTCAGAAAGATAAGGAGCAACGGAATTAACAAGTAATCCAGCTCTTAAAACGCAGCTAGAAAACACACACAACACTTGCTAAAATAGCCTGAAATCTCTTACAAAGTAGAGGGTTTACCCATCCTCAACTGGTCATGTGACAAACAGAACAAATTTCTCACCAGCTATGCTGTAGAGACTAACAGGATCAATAACAAAAGTCTCTGCAACTCCCCAGATTTCACAATTGTGGCAAAAGAGCATACAAGAATTCTATTCACGTAACAAGTCTAAACAAGTGCGGACAATCAAAAATGACCAAGTTTCAAAACAAGGTCTTCAGGACATAACGGGCAAGATCACTTTCACAACTTCACACAGAGTATGAAGGCAAGAAACAAGAACAATCAGATTGCCATCTCATCGAAATGGATGAGAAAATTCAGGCAACATGAATCAGAATCGTCCCTTATATAACCCCATCACTCGTCTCACCACGGGGCTAAAATCCACTGGCTAGCCAAGTTCCAAACAAATCCTAGGTATTCAATTAAACCTAGGCTCGATATCACTCAATCTGCTCTAATGCCACTCAATCTGGAAGTGCTTAATTTAATCTTAAACTCTTAATTTAAATCTAAGCTTTGGTTTCAACCTAAGCTCTTAATTTCAACTTGAGCTCTTATACCACTCAATCTCCAGATATCTAATTTAACCTAAGCTCTGATACCACTAAATCT